GGGAGGGAGGACCCGGGGGGGGGGTGGTCTTGGTTGAAGCCGCCGAGAGCAGATCCTCTGTCTAATATTTTGTGTCCAATTTTCTGTTCAAAGTAAAACTACATAATTTCACTTATTATATCTGCTGACGTGACAACTAAAAATAAGTGGCTGTTTGGCTGCCTTATACTTCTTTTTTTTTTCTTGTTTGGATTTTCATTGTTTACACAACTTTATTATAATTCCCATCTTTTTTAAATATTCTTTTGTATTTGAAATCCTTGATACTTTGTTTTAAAAAAGATGAGAATTGTAACAAAGTTGTGTAGACAAAGGAAACCTAAAAAAGAAGAAAGAAAAAGAAGTATAAGGTAGTCAAACAGCCACCTATTTTTAGTTACCATATCAACAGATATAATAAGTGAAACTACGTAATTTCACATTGTACAAAAAATTGGACACAAAATATATATTGGACAGAGGATCTACTCTCGAAGCCGGCAAGGTCCACACTCCACAATGGACCGAATGATAATCAAATGAATGTAGTTGTCAGCTACGACGCACCAAAAACACGTCAAATTACATTAAACCCCCTCTACTTTTTGGTATCATGCCCGCAGTTGTCAAGGCAGTCTTGATCTAATAATTAAAGTTAAAACTTAATTAAAATTCTGAGAGAAATAAAAAAATTTAAATTCAAAATTTTCTTTTTTTTTTTTTACTTTTTAAATTTCACTATTCTCTTTTAAGAAAAATAAAGATTTTACGTTGTTCAAGTCTTTTCTTATACATGACTTAGGAGATTTACAACCAACGTTACCCCCCCCCCCCCCCCCCCCCCCCCCCCCGCTTAACTTGTGTGTTTTAAATTATTTCCATAGTCATGTAACGGAACTTTTTCCATCGGAAAGTTGTGCTACTTGGGGTCTACCCTAGCACACGGTGGTGGTGGTGGTGGTGGTCGGAGGTGAATCCAACATAACTTTTTCACACTAGAAAAAAAAAAAATTTCCCCTCCAAGCCTGCCTCTACTAGATCTAGGGTACTCCAAAATTGCCACTGTTCCTTAGCTAACTATACTCTTAACCTCATGATTTTGTCCAAGCTATTAAAAAATAAACAAACAAATAAATAAAAAGCTAATCCCACATTAACACGCCAAGATCTTCTCTGGACTAATTGATGCCGATCTTTTGGACTTCTCCACTCTCCTCCAGTTAATTTGTAGGTGGAATCTCAAATTCATTAACACATTTTTTTTTTCATAATTGAAATATTTAAGCTGATTTTACTGAAATATGGAGTTGCAAGTTTTATAATGACTTCTAGTTCTAATGAACAAACGAACACCACAAATTTGATGGGTTTTTTTTAAAAAAAAAAAAAAAAAAAAGTTGAGTACTACTGCAGTAATATGTATAAAACTACTGAATAATGTAGCATTACAAGGAAAACGGTGGTTTGATCCCGTAAAACAATCGTATATATAGTTCGAGCCCTTGAACCTCCAAAGTTGCTTTAGACTACCATAAATTGCTAAATCACGTCGAAATCAATCCTCAGCCATTGGCATAAGAAATAAAATTTGATGAGAACCAAATATAGAAAAGGTCAATTTTTGAGCACCCAATTGCATTGAAATTGTGCTCATTGGGAAAAAAAAAAAAATTTCCTTTGAACTTGGTCCTTTGAAATTTCAGGACTGTGTTAAATGCTGCCCCAACAATTATTTTGGCCACTCTATCATGAAATTTGGTCAAACTTCCTAAGTATAAGCTATCGGTGTAAGAACAGCAGCCTTTAGTTGAAATTAAGGAGCCGAATCAAAAAGTTTGAAAACCTAAATGAAAGTTCGGCGGTCAACTTATATGTTTCAACTTTTAGAGGTCAAAATTTTGTCGTGTTTAAGACATCCTGTTCCGCCTAATGAAGTATGCGCATTAGCTTGTGGACTTTTTCAACCGGTGGACGCCTAAGTGTTAGTACACTTAAATTATAGCTAACTTACTCCATCTGTCTTATTTTGATAATTCTAGTTTTTTTTTTCAAACAGTTTAAAAAAAATAGTTAATTTTATTGAAAAAATAAATTTAAATTACTATTTTTTTAAAATACCCTTACATTAAATAAAGTTGACTTTTCATATATCAATATATTTTGAAAAATCTAAATGCATTAAATGGGATAGGTTATATTTAGAGCTGTTAGTCGAGCCGAGTATTTGGCTGCCGAGCTCGTTAAGAAAACGAGCTTTAAAATGTGTTCGAACTCGGTTCGTTAAATGTACATGTGGCTCGAGCTCGAGCTCGACTCGTTTATCACAAACGAGTCGAGCTTCACGAGCTCGAGCTCGAGCTCGTGCAAATTAACATTAATAAAAATCTATAATTTTTAATTTATATAATTTTGATTTCTAAAATGACAAATATACCCTTTATTAACGAGCTCTAACGAGCTACTCGAGTATCAAACGAGCCGAGCTTACTCGGCTCGTTAACTAAACGAGCATGTTTCGAGCTCGAGCTCGACTCGTTAACCAAAATTAACGAGCCGAGCTCGAGTCTTAACGAGCCGAGCTCTAACGAGCTTTCGAGTTACTTGATTGGCTTAACAGCTCTAGTTATATTTAATACTAATGATCTATATTAAATAAAGTAGTTTATAGAAATAATAACTTACATTAAATAAGGGTATTTTAGAGAAATTAAAAGACAATTACATTCTTTAATTGGAAAGTAGACTACAGTTTGGGACAAACGAAAAAGGAAAACAGTACTATCAAAGTGGGACGGAAGAAGTATTATGTAAACACATATCACAGTCATCGCACCCCTACATTTAGATTTTTTTTTTTTTTTATAAAACTAACACTTGATATCTCCTCTTATTGAATATCAGCTCTATTAGGCATCAGTTAGTCAAACCGTACATTCATTACAAAAAGAGAAGTATTTTTTTTTTGATCAATTACAAAAAGAGAAGTATGGGCATACACTGCAAACGTTATGCTCACTTAGGTTAAATTTATCGACTAAGGGACCGGAGGGTTTCAGTTGATTTGAATGAATTGTACACTGTTTGTTCTACAATGTAAATTACTTTGAACAATGTGAATCAAGAAACACTATTTAACAGGTCTCACACATATCTTAAAATTGATTACAACTTGTAATCTGAATCTTATATTTTTAGCCAAGAAAAAAAAAATCTAGGATTGTGTATTGATTGGTACCCACAACAAGTTTTTTGGCTATTATAAGATCACGTAAAACATCCTTAGTAAACGGTGTAAGAAGAGCATCATTTAGTTGAATTTAAGGAGCCAAATCAGAAAATGCCAATGTTACGAAAAACTTAGGATTGCAAGTTTTTCAAGAAAAAAATTTGAAATATTTTTTTTAATGTATATTTTTATTTTACATATATCACATTATTATAATATATTTTTATATAAAATCCAAACGGCTATTGAAATGAAATCGAGACCCTGATAAGCTTGACGGTCAACCTGCACATTTTCAACTTCCAGAGGTCAAAAGTTTCCTGTACTTGGACAGTTTGCTAGTCAAAATTAAACTAATGCAATAGTTAAATGGTTATCCGTATATTTTGAGGCCTAGGTCGGTACATAAGCATTTGATTTATCAATTGACTAAGGGCAAGACGGTTTAAGTTCATTGAACAAATTCTGAACTGTTTGTCTAATAATGTCAATTATTTTAGGGATAATTTCAGAAACCTCCCTTGAGGTTTCTAATAATTTCACTTGGCTCCCCTAAAGTTTCAAAAATTACACCTTCCTCCCTTGTCCATTTAAAATGACAATACTAACCTTAATATTTTTAATAAAATTCTCTTGTTGCCATGTTTAGGCAAAGGATGGATTTTATATTTTTTTTACCATTTTCCTTCTTATTCATTTCTCTTATATTTCATTAGAAGTATAAAAGAAATATCAATGTTGTTCCTAATATCTATTCAAATTACGCTAAACTAGTAAATTTTTTTGATAGCTTTTAATATTCTCCAATTTTTTTGGTAGTTCTTTTTTTTTTTTTGGTATCAAAATCAAGGATAAGTCAATAATAATTAAAAATAAATGGTCCAAAATCACTGCCAAATATGATAGTTCCACCACTAAACTAGTCCATAAATTTTCATTTAAAAAAATAGTCCATAAACTTTAAAAGAAACAAAATAGCACTCTCTATCTCAAAAAGAATTTGTATTTCCAATAAAACACTATGAAATAAAACTCTATTATAACAAAAGATTTATTGTTATAGTTGATTATTAAATAACAAATATTAGCATGAAAACTTGACACTCTTTTTGTTTAGAAGAACAAATTGAACTTTGTAAGATAAGAGCATTTTAGGGTATTCATTAAATTTTTTACTCTATTTTAAAGTGTCAAATCAAAGGAGGTAAGTATAATTTTTAAAACATTATGGGAACTAAGTGAAATAGTAAGAAACCTCAAGGGAGGTTTCTGAAATTATCCCATTATTTTATACATAGTGTTTCTCTTTTGCAAGGATTTATTGGGAATTTCGCCAATTTGGTCACTAAACATTTTCACTTAAATCAATTTCGTCCTTCATGAAATATTTTAACCAATTTAGTCCTTGAACTAGTTTTTTACTTCCAATGTAGGACTTTTTACTACATTTTACTCAATTCGCGTAGACCAACAGGGGTATAATTGTCACACTGGCTTAATCTGCTGCAATTATTCGCCGAGGAGGAAGAGTGCCTGAACACTTTCCCTTTCACAAATAATATACTATCTTTTTATTCTCATATAAGAAACTTCATTAAGTGGCTTGATTCGACAACTATAGACCCTTTTGATTTCAATGCTTAAAACTATCATATGCCGCCTCAATTCAATCAATCGCTATTATTACAAATTTTTTATTGAGTTAAACAACCTTTTGGGAATCCATCTTTTGAAGCAAGTATTGCAGATTTACTTGCTTCAGATGTCAATGGCATACAGAGCTTGAATACATATCTGGCAGCAAATCCATCATATCTTGATGTGTTGATTTTCATTTCAAAGATGAACCGAAACATATTCAATCCGTGTAATAGCTTCAAGCAGATAATGACAAATGGAAGTAGTTAACATCGAAATTTCTACATAGCGATTCTGTCATAATACTTCCTTCCTTTCACAAGACAAACCTCAGCCAAGGCTGCTTATGGCTTCTGGCACCAGGAAATGTGGTTGCCTTGTTTTTCTCCTCCCTCTCTGCGTGCTATTTATGGGAACTTCTGTATACCCAACTCAGATTAGTCGTATATATCCTTTTGCCTGCTCTAACAGCATCAAGACGTGCAATTCTTACCTTTACCAGCACAATGGCTTTAAAAAAGAGCAGATTGCTTCTTATTACTCGGTGAATACATCACAAATCAGGCCGATCACTGACAACAACAGAAATGACTACCTTGTAACTGTACCTTGTTCTTGCAAAAATGTTAATGGCACTGTCGGGTACTTCTATGATACTGACTACACTTTGCAAAGAAACGACACCTTTGCAAATGTCTCTAATCAGATTTATAGTGGGTAGGCTTGGAAAGTTGGCGGAGAAGAAGACTACACTGCAGGACTGAATGCCACCATGCATCTCTTGTGTGGATGCGTAGAAAGTGACTCTCAGATTGTGGTAACATATACAGTCCAACCTCTTGATACCTTATCAAGTACTGCAGATTTACTTGCTTCAGATGTCAATGGCATGCAGAGCTTGTATATTATTTGTAAAAGGGAAAGTGTTCAGGGACTCCTCCTCCTCGGTGAATAATTGCAGCAGATTAAGCCAGTGTGACAATTATACCCCTGTTGGTCCACGCGAATTGAGTAAAATGTAGTAAAAAGTCCTACATTGGAAGTAAAAAACTAGTTCAAGGGCTAAATTGGTTAAAATATTTCATGAAGGACGAAATTGATTTAAGTGAAAATGTTTAGGGACCAAATTGGCGAAATTCCCGGATTTATTTGATGAAATTGAAATCTAAAGAATAAATTTGAATCTATTAAGTTATTAAATTATTAAACATTAAAATCTTTAAAAATTTAAAAACATAAAGAAATCTTAACATTTGTGCGTACAATGTATTAACTTATTAGTGAATAACTTTTCACTTATCTTTTTTCGAGTAAGTTGTGTCTATATAATTCACATTCACTTCATTAATTAAATTGTTCTATTTTTTATTATCAAATATATATAGTCGTGTTAAAATTTGAATTCATTAAATTTAAGTATTGAATTAATTAATCAAATAGGCCCAAGTCTCACGCAAACGTTGAAATCTATTACGTCACCAGCATATGAGTTTTACATCTTTTAAAATTTGGTGGATTATTGCTGGGGGCCCTTCCGCCATTCCCAATTCTAGTGCTTTGAGTGGTAACGTAACATCTTACGTCACCAGCATAAATTCATTTTGCCAAAGGAAGAAAAGGATTAAAAATTTCATTTCTCCAAATGGAAAGGAGAATAGAGATCCTACCACTACAAACCTTGCAGCCCATTAGCCAAATCAGCAAAAATTATTCATCATTCTCTCACAAAAAGTTGTTTGTTTAAATTATATTGCTAATGTGAGAGTTGTATTCGTGGACGATTTGTAAAAACCCTTGTAAATGACTTTCTGCTGCCGATAAAAGTGTTATATTGATGGGCAATCAATAAGAACTCTTGTAAGCGATTTCTTGCTATCGATATGAGAGCTATATTGATGGGTGATATGTAATAATTATTACAAGTGACGTGTGATCTTGAGGACATGTTATGTACCATAGTTGTAATTGGAGTTAAATCTATCCAAAAAAAATTTTTACCAAAAAATAAAAAAAAAATAAAGTAAAAATTATTGTAATTAGAAAGGCGAGTTTGACCATGATTCCCTTTCATTAATTAATACACAAGTACAAAGTTTTTTGCCTTATTAAAAGCAAAGAGTATAAAGCTAGATTTCCCAACTTAGGCAGCTTCCTCAAGTTTATATTTAATTGAAAAAGTCTTGATGGCCCTTGAACTTTGATTGATAATTTTCTGCAAGTATACAGGATCGATCGTAGTAATAGAATCACTTGAAGTATTCCAAGGTCGAATCCAACAGACGAGTTAATTTCCTTCTTTAATGACTATGATAAAAAAAATTGAAAGAGTGGAGAAATTAGAGAGTAACTTTGATGTAATGCGATAACAAAACAAATTAATTGAAAGGAAGAAAATCAATAAGTACGTGTATCCCATAATCCTGAAATAATTTCCCTAATTATTTTCTTACCAAGTTAGGAACGCATCACACGAATATATTTTAGACTACCTCTCGATGCATCTAAAGTATGTTTAACTAAATCTTACACCTCTCTTGATGGTCATAATAGTTCAATTAAACCCATTAAAATTCTCAGTGATTTAGCTGCATCATACATACCCTAACCTACTCTCATAATTAGTCTATGTGTGTTTATCTATCTAGAACACGGTTGTATCTCATTTCTCAATTTGACACAAATCCAACATTCATGTTCATGGTGATCAAGCATAAACAGCCATCAAGAACAAGATAAATAAATCGTAGCATAAGATAAGAATTTAACTGGAGGAATCAATCAAAATCCTTTCGTAAACCCTAACCCTAGAAAATATTTAGTTCAACCTGTTAGAAAGATTAAAAGCACAAATCCAAAGAGTTAATACAAAAGAGAGAATAGGAGCTAGGGAACTTCTCAATTGTTGCTCTGCTTCACCGCTTGTACGCTCCTTGGCTTGATCTCCTACGCTTGACTTCTCCAGAGAATAAAATTGTTTTTAGGCTAAGAGCTACGGTTGCTACCCCCCTCCCCCACCCCACAAAAAATGACCTAAAAAATCCCTATTTATAATTATCACTAATTGCCTTCGAATCCTCTTCAGAATAGGTTTCTTATCGTAGACGAAATACGTGCGTGAGACCAGTCTGATGAAGACCGGTGTGAAGTCCGGCACCGGTCTTCACAGTGCAACTCACAGTATTCAACTTCTGGTGATATCCGGCGTGAAGTTCGGGAACTTTTATTGATGTTTGACGTGAAGTCAGATGCGCCAGTCTTTGAGCAATTTCCAGAAGTTTGTCTTTTGGCCCTTGAATTTTGAATCTTTCATACCTTTTCCACCTAATTTCTTCAATTCGCTCAATTATGTCCTTGTGATACCAAAATAACTTTGAATAAGCAGCTTTCCGTCCAATTCAAGCACATAAAGCATAAATATAACTCAAGAATGCCTATAAGAAAATCTTATAATCTACTCCCTATCAAACTTTTAGCTGCGTAAAGTTTTAATTCTCGAATAATTATTAAAGAATTTTTGACCTCCTGATCTATTAAAAGTGCAAGCCATTGATCATTTTATCAATTTCAACTTTTTTCTTTGGCGGAAACACCATCACATTCGATGAACCAGGAAAAATCAAAGGTAATCTAGTCTGTCCAAAAATACTTATTGACTAAAATCAAGGTCAATCTAGTCCTTCTCTCTCTCTCTCTCTCTCTCAAGAATACCTACAAGAAAATCTTATAATCTACTCCCTATCAAACTTTTAGCTGCTTAAAGTTTTAATTCTTGAATAATTATTAAAGAACTTTTGACCTCCTGATCTATCAAAAGTGCAAACCATTGATCATTTTATCAATTTCAACTTTTTTCTTTGACGGAAACACCATCACATGCGATGAACCAGGAAAAATCAAGGGTAATCTAGTCTGTCCAAAAATACTTATTGACTAAAATCAAGGTCAATCTAGTCTCTCTCTCTCTCTCTCTCTGAGTTGAATCTTGGAATGGAACCTAGCAATTGTTGCAAGACTATCCGAGGTATAAGAAGAGAGGGGGAGGAAGTAGAGGAGGTGGAGGAAATTTTTGCAGAAACAGAATAAGGGAAGAAAAAAAGATACGGGAAGAGGAGTGAGAAAGAGAGCTTAGGACAAAAAATCTCAATGACCCTTGATTTACCTGATGGTGTTTCCATCAAACATGACGACTCAAATTAAGAGAATGATCAATGGTTTCCACTTTTGATAGATTGAGGGTCAAAAGTTTTCTAATAATTGTTCCAGAGCTAAAACTTTACGCGAATAAAAACTCGAAAGCTAGCGAAACTTTCTACCATATTTAATTACTTATACACTTTTCCTAATTTAGACAATTTTAAACGGACTTATTCTATGGAGATTCCTTATGCTTCATCAAAATGATAACATCAAGGAGCATTGTTACGGTAAAATTCGGTTATGCAAAACTCGTATTATGAGAAGGGAACGACATACTAAGCTACTGAAGAGTGAAGAGTTTATCATATTTATTTACTTGGGAATTCAACCTTTACCAAAATGACAAATTTAGTCACCTACTTCCCAATCTTTACCCTCAATATACAATTCAGATTTTCAAAATTTCATCTTCAACTTTCTCAAACAAAATAGTCATGTGAGTGTTAAGTGAAAAAAGTGTTTTGCTTTTTTATAATGCTATGCTACCCAATGCTACTTTGGTGAAAGTCAATAACTATTTTAAGAATTATTCTTATACACACTGACAGTATACACACGAATATCTATAGATGTATGCCACTTAATTTCAGTTTGAATTTAAACTTTATTTTTGACGCTTGTAGCATGCATCTAAAGTTGCTGGTATATGTACTATGAGTATATACAAGATTAATGTTTGCTTTAGAATGCATAATGCTAAACATTTTAAATGGTCTCATGAAGTCAAGGTATACAAGAGTCTCCCTCTTCTCTTTTCAACAAAGCACTGAGAGAAGATACCTAAGAGGGACCCACTAGAGTCCAACTTCCAGGTGACTGGAAGGGATCTCAATGGACTTTAAACACTCATACTCGACTCTTTATTGAACTGATGTGGGAGAAAGGGAAAGGGAAACACTTGACTTAAGCCAGCTATTAAACCTTCACCGTGACTCTTGCTTCTTTTCAACAAAGCGCTGAGAGAAGATACTTAATGGGGATCTACTAAAGTCCAACTTCCAGGCGACGGGAAGGAACCTCAATGGATCTTAAACACTCACACTCGACTCTTTACTGAATCGATGTGGGAGAAAGGGGAAGGGAAGTCGTCTTTCTCAATAATTGCTCAACGACATCATCAATGGAAGGGAAGGGGAAGGGAGTCTCCCTCTTCTCGTCTTTCTCAATAATTGCTCAACGACATCATCAATGACGCTTTGTCTATCTCACAGTCAAATGTTGCACATGGTTTTGATTATTTTACTTTCATTGTCAATGTTAGATAGGTTAATTAATCCAAATGAACCCCAGTAAAACAAACCGTCATTACTGTTTCGAGTCTTTTTCATGTAATGGTGATAAGAGTAATCCAAATATCTTCATTAATGCTGTCTTTTCCTGTTTTCTTTTTCCATTTAGCAAAATTTAAGACAATTAATCAATCGAATGCTTACGTTACATGACCTGCCCATTGGAGGGTCAAAAAGTATGAACAATCATTTAGCTATTGCACTAGTATAACACAACTGGATCGTTAACCTCATATATATATATATATATATATATATATATATATATATACTAGCATGGGTCTGGCCGTGCTACGCACTGGCCTACCCACTGATATGACCAACTTAATTATGGATTAAAAAAATTGCTATTTATTGAATTTTTTTATTTTTTGAATTTGCTGTAACAATGAGGATAATTTGCTAAAAGATCATAATGTATATATAGGTTCAAGAGGTAAATAATATACAAATCACAACCATACATTACATAAACTAAGTCATTCATGTCTCAATAGAATACATATTTGACTGCTAGCCACAGTTACATATTAGGAGGCTTAAATAAGCTTCATTGCTTATTGAATTACAACATTGTTGGTTAAACCATTAATAGTTATATTAGGATCCATTACTTTTTTAAGTCAAAAGAATAACGAATCATAATATAATTCAGAACATATTGTCTAAGCAATGAAGGCAGGCACTAAGGAAATTAACAAAGGTTTAACAAAAGTACAGAATTAGGCCATATTAGACTTGTTTAGCTTTAGCTTTCTTTGCTGGACTGTCTTTGATATTGCCAGGTGGACTATACATACTTCTGGTTTCATTGTTAGATTTTGAATATGAAAACCAGAAGTGCGTACTTTTAATGTTGAAATTCGTATGGTACGAAACTCCATTAACTCGTTATTATTATTTACGAAACCACTTCCTCGCCACACACAGATCCAAGTCCAACGTTTTTTAAGATATTCCACAAGTAAACAAGAGAAGAGAACAAAAAAAAAAAAAAGCATTTTTTTTGGTTTTTTATTTTTCCACCACAAAAAAGGAAATAAAGAATATATATATATATATATAAAGAGGCTGCCGGAAAATTGCTGTCCAAATGGAAAAAAGTAAAAGTCTAAAAAAGAATGTAGAAAATGAAATTAAGTAGTAAACATGGAAGCTGCTCAAACATCACAGCTTTTGCTTAGCAGATTTTTTGTCTGTCATTTGTGTCCAATCCCGGAATACAATACGAGCCTTAAAAGATGTTTGTGCTGTATAACTTGAAACGGGAAACTAAAAGCGGCAAAATTGGATAAATGGTTAACCAAAACTCGCTGCGTGCTAGTGTTATGTGAGTAGTCGATAATAGTAGCGTATTTGATTTGGTCTGAAAACAAATGTTTTGAGCATAAAGCCATCTGTACCTGAGAAGACCGACTCGTTTGGAGTATTTAGCGAGTCTGTTGAATTATTAACGCTTCATTTAATTTGTGCAAAGACATATATATAAATCTAGCTTCCAATTCATAACAAACAGCTAACATCATCATGCAACATTTGAAATTAAAAACAGAGGAAAAAGCAAACATAAGCTAATCCACAAAATTACCATCATAGTTATTCTTTTATGCATAACATCAAATAACATGGCGGTCTTTAATCAACAGAAGGCAACAACATTCAAACTGAAAAATTGCAGTTCAGAATAGAAGGAAAGAAGATAGAAACATACCTTTTTTTTTTTGAAGCAACAATATGATGGAAAAAAAGCATGTTTCAGAACAAGAATGTCGTATCTCTATCACTCATTTCCTAAGCAAAATCAGGGACACCAACTAATACTAAACAAAAACAAAAGCATAACGAAACTTCTAAATGAAAAAGACCAACACTTTGATGCTCATTAGTCGAAAAGACTGAAGCCTATATTGTCATCGGACTCCTCTTTCTCTTCTACTTTCTCCTCTTTCTTATCCTCAGCAGCAGGTGCAGCGGCAGCACCACCACCAGCGGGTACTGAAGCCAACTTCTCCCTACTAGCTGCAATCAGCTTTGTGATATCCTTACCATCCACTTGAGATAAAAGCAAATCGATTTTTTCATCATCAGCATCAGCTCCAACGGAAGCAAGGATCGCCTTAATATCCTTGGCAGAGGGACAGGTGTTTCCTCCCAACAAGGCCAACAAATATGCGGCGACCACCTTCAAGATACAGTGGAAATCCAGAAGAATGGAGAGATTGATTGCTGATCGGCTGCGGCGCCCGAAGGTAGGGTTTTAACACAAGGAAAATGAAACGTACCTGAGTTTTCTTTGCTTGTCTGAATGCTGGCAAAAGTCGGAAACAGAAGTTATATAAGGCTCGTTGTATCTCTTTTGTCTAAGTTTTGAAAGTTGTACAATACATGATTAAAATTCTTTTTTGAAAGTAAACATCACTTCAAATCAAATACCAGGAAAAGAGGAGAGTTTCTATGCTAAATTCAAACCAAGTACCAAAATGATTGATAAATTGGTACCGGATTCATCCCTAAAGTGAGCTGATTTTGGGGAAAAGAAATGTCACTGAACTGATCTTGGGGGCAAAAGAAATCTTCACGTGCGTGGAGGATTTTTTGGGTTGCAATCAAAAGGAAGTACAATTAGTTGTCGGAGGAATTCGTAGAAAAGTGAAGATTTTGCAGACCTATAGGTACCTATCTCACCGAAAGAAAGTGGAAGGAAGTTCTGGTTCTAAAAGCTAAACAACGACCAAAAATGATGATTAATAGAGAATCATTAAGGCTAAGTGTTACACTAACCACTTGTTAATTTTGGTGCTCCACTAACTAACGGGTCTAACATGAGTTATACTAATATAGGACTGACTCCATTATCTTAATTAATCTAAAAACAGGCCATGTGATAAAAGGAGCCCACAAATAGTCTACAACTATTTGCATTTGATCAGAAATTTATAAAAGAAATAATTTCAAATGTACAAAAATAACCCTAAACAGTTAGCAACTATTTAAAGAGTTAGTTTTCATAAAAGGATTCAATTGACCTTTCCCACCAATTAAAAACCAAACAAAAGGAACAAATGAAAATAGTTAAACCATTATTACCAATTAGCCCCTAAATAGAAAGGAACTATTAAGCCTTTGAATTGGGACACCAAGGCTCAAATAGACATTTCACATGATATATATAATGATTATATATATATATATATATCAGTTCACATCCTGGCGGTGTGGTGGGCTTGGGTTGAGCGTTTGCCAAGAAAAAGAGCAGTGAAAAAGCAGGGGACTGCTGGGGAGGGTCGGAGATGCTGGAGCAGCAGCAGCAGGAGGTAAAGGATGGAGCAACAAAGGCGATCATTCTCTGCGGATTGTCTCGTCTGCTCTGTTGCGTATTTCTTGGTAGTGATATTCCGCTAGTCCACCAAGAGGTACCAACCATGCATTTAAAGATAAATTACCAACTTCAAACCAGAAGAAAATGGAGCAACCGCAGAGTCAATGACAGATTAATCGTCCACCAAGAAAGAAAACAGCCAAATTTGCATATACTGGAGGCAGCATCACGAGGCAATGCAATTCATCCGCGACAAAGAATTTAACATCCCACAGGACAAAGTGCTGTAATCTGCTAGACAGAATCAGTAATTGCAGTAATCGGACCTCCACGAATCACAAAATATCCAGAAACCACAAGAACCGGTTAAACGATCCATTATAACTCATACATTAGCACTCAACCTTGAGTCTTCAAGTTTAACCCAAACTATAAGACACACAGCTAAAACATAATCTGGATGTAGCACTACAATAACACCGAGTTCTCTGAGAATGATACTTGTTCTAGAAATGGAAGCAAAATGACTTAGAAATTGGGAGGCAAAAATGATGGTAGACTATACGTCAAAATACAGTACCCTTTCCAAAAAACATTGAAATTTTATTTGAAACACTTTGCATCCAACAGAGGCTCTCCCTCAAAAGGCTCATAATCTTCAATCATCTGGCTGACACGCTCTTTTTGGGCTTCATCACTGATGTCTACCTCCTTCCAGTCATACAGCTCCATATCATAAACCTCATCCAGGATAAATTTAGGGATTTCTTTACCGCGGAAAAGCCACAACCCCTTCACCTTGAATGGGGGCTCTGAACCAATGACCAACATTTTCCCAAATGCATACTTGCGTGCAAGATCCATTCTTTGCAGAAATCCACCAACCTTGTTCAAAGTAACAAAGGAAACTGTGTTTTCATCATTGTACTTGTAGTCGCAAAACCAGAGTGAGTATCCTTCAGGATCATACATTTCCCAAAATCCTGCAATACATGAATCACATGAATTGTTATGGACATGGTAAGTACTAAGCCCAGCATTTGCCCTCTAGCTTGCCAAGATAAAGAACAAAACAAGTAAAATCCACATCAAATAGAAACTCAAACTACAAAAACACAATTGATCTAACAACCCAATCCAATTAACCCTTGTAGAGCACAAACAGCCCTTCCACAAGAAAATGACGAGATACAAAGGCTTGTAAATGAAAATACCAAAAAGTCATTGCAACAAGACGAGAAAATTTTCTAGCATGAAAACCATAGCATATCTGTGCATAAAGGTAAGCTACTGCATGAATAATATTCAAGCAATACAACAAAAACCGATTAAATGGCATCATGGCAGCATCAGTGACAGCAAAATCATGACCATTACTGCAGCAAATCATAACATGATTGGACTACACTGTCAGCAAACCCAGCAATAAAAGCAAATGATGTCACAGGAAGCACCATTAATCACATGACTACTATTAGAATAGCAATATCTGAATAAGAAATAACACACCAGCAGCTGCTTAAATATTTCCAATTTCTATCCTAGTATATCTTCCCAAAATTCTTCCATTTCACTAACAAAACTCCAATTTTGCAAATTTACAAGTAACAAAACCAACAGGAATCAAATTGCTAGCACTACTTCCAATTTCTATCCTTGTAATCTCTTCCCAAAATTCTCCCATGCAACTACCCAAAAAAGATAACAAGCATCAGAAGCAAATGAAAGGACAAATTTTCTTTTGCCTCCCTACAACCTGAAAATACATATAGATAAACACTCCCCAAAATAAACCCCAAAAACCAAAAACAACTATAAAATGTCAAATATTCTATCAAGATCATAAGACTGCAGCTTGAAGAGTCAGTTTGTAGATTCTAATACTAAAAATCAACTACTGCTTGCCAAAAAATCAATGCCATTACAGTATGCTAATCCATCCAAAATCTGATCACTCACTAGCAAGTTTATATAGAAACATTTATGTGCTAATAACTGTTGCTTCGTGCTGGCAAAAGACTAAGCCATCCAGAAAAAAATACATCACCTGCGCTATAAAAGATTCAAACATAAATCAACTTTGGATGCAGCCAACTATAAATGACTCAAACATGAATTAACTTTCAAAGTAGCCAATACGTAAAAGATCACACCAGACACACCTTTACAAAAATATAAGACACCAATAACAAGATAGTTTTCATCCTCAAGTAAAGGAGCTATCGAAGTACAAGTTTAACAACGAAATGATATTTACAATTTGTAACAAAGTGTGACCACAAAAATAAAACTACACAGAATTAATACAAGCGTCAAGGACCATACTTGTTGGATATGATGCTCATTCTATACATTCCAAAATTAAATACATCAATCATCATCATTCAATATTTAGATTAGTTCTAATTTATTATCCTCAATTCTGATGCAATAATAATTATTTGGGGTACCACATAGCTAACAATCTACCTCCTGAGAGTAAACACTTTTATAGGAACATACTTCCTTCTGCAGAAGGATAGAACGCTTATCTATCACACAGTGTATAGTTCTCTTCAACATTTTCCATCACCATATTCAAACAATCCATGTAAATGGAGAAAGAGTGGAGAAAGTTACCCTTAATTGCGACTTCACGGAAGTTAGTCTTGGTGTTTGAATAAAGCCTCTTCCATTCATCTAGTATCATCTTGCTAGGTGGCAAAAGATCCAGAGGATTTTTTGGTTTTGGCTTGGGTGCTTCTTCTTCCTCAAGATCATCCTCTTTAGGCTTGGGGGCTTCTTTCTTTGCCTCTTTCTTGGCCACCTTGGGTTCTTCCTTTGCCTTTGGTTCTTTTGGCTGTGCAGGTTTTTTGGATGGAACAGGTGGAACGGAATCTGTCTGATTCACGTCGCCCAAAATCTTGTGAAACTTTGGCTGATTCACCAAGGTCCAGAAGTATCTCTCAACATGGGGAAATTCTGAGGTAAAGCTCTTCGTCATGACAGTTTTATATCCCAGATACAGGTTGCATATTGTAATTATGTCCGCAAGAGTGACAAAATCTCCAACCAAGTAAGTGTTAGAGGCAAGATGAGCATTCAATGGTCCAAGAGCTCTCTTCAGAGAAGCAATTGCAGCTTCCTCAGCCTTCATTCCCAAAAATTTTAACATGAAAAGTTACCACTCAAATATTCTAGAACCATTTTACAGATAGAGAATATATGCAGAGGTCTAAATGGAAAAAGTGAGAAAAAAAGAGAGGAAGAGATAGATTAGAGATACCGGAGGGAGGTGAACCATAAAACCCAGTCGTGGGTACAACCAACGACCCAAATTGACATCAATCTCCGTGGTGGCAAAGTCGATCCATTGCTCAATGCGGGCCTAAGAACACAACTCAATTACGTAAAACACACAAAAGAAGCTTCATTTCAGATAGAGCACAAGGGATACATGATTGCTATTTTAAGACAATGTTGCTTACATATTCAATCAAAGATGAGCCAAAGAGTGGATTATTAGCCTTCAACTTTGTAACTGCCACAAGTAGGCGGGGAGATAAATGTTAAGTCAAATTCTCAGTGCAGTACGTCAAGATGAAAAACCAAAATTAAGTGAAGAAACCTACCATAACGGGCAATGGCATTACTCTCAAATAAAGGACCATCAGGAGTTTCAAGCACAGGAACCTGTTCAACAACACATCCTTAGCTAAAACCACCCAGATAACAAAGCAACACAAAAAACACTAGACAGTTGCAAATTTCTTCTTCTGACACACTGAAATAGGTTACCTTTCCAATTGGATTCATCTTGAGGAACTCAGGAGTCTTATTGGATACTCCCATCTGAAAATCCTTAGTTAGTTCCACTTTAACATCACTGTATTCTGCCGCAATTAGTGCCTTGAAAGCATTCTTATTATTGCTCGTCGCATGCAGGATCTGAAAATCAC